GGGTGAGGGGTCGGGTGAGGAGACTGGGGTGAGGGGTCGGGTGAGGAGACTGGGGTGAGGGTCAGGTGAAGGGACTGGGTGAGGGGTCAGGTGAGGAGACTGAGGTGAGGGGTCGGGTGAGGGGACTGGGGTGAGGGGTCGGGTGAGGGGACTGGGGTGAGGGGTCGGGTGAGGGGACGACTGGGTATGGAGTGGAGATGAGGGGTGAAGGGCCCGGCGCGAGGCGGGGGTCACAGTCAGGGTGACCCAGGCGCGGGGAGGGTCAGGAGCCGCTCACCTCCTGCTCAGCCAGGGCTCCCGCTCGGTCAGCTCCTCCGCCCTCGCCAGGGCCGGGGCCTGAGGAGGCTCCGCCTAAGACGCCCCGCCCCTTTCCGTTACCAGGCCCGCCCCCGGAGCTGACCTCTTGTCCTCATTGGCTGGTATTCCGGAGAGAAAGGGGCGGGGCTGCCAGCACATGACTGCTCCCGCCTGGCTGGGCCGAAGTTCCAGCCTCGAGGTCTCATTGGCTGGGCTCCAGAGCGGAAGGGGCGGGGCCACCCCAGGGTCCGCGCTGAGTCCTGCGGCCTCAGGTGGGCCCAGGTAGAGGAGGTGCGGAGGTTGAGCACCGGTGGAGCTGAGACCAGAGGGCGCTCCCCCCTCCGCCCCCGTAGCTGTGTCCCTCCTCGTGGCGCTCTGAGGGTGAGGCCAGGCGCGCAGCGCCCTGTTTGCGGGTCCACTGTGTTGCCGGTGCCCAGGACGGCACTTGGCACAGCGGTGCTAATAAACGTTTGTTGAACGGGTGCTGGATGCCTGAATATTTGGTCTTCACAACTACCCTACGCTGCCGTCATTGTTGCATCTGTCCTAACAGGGGAGGAGCTGAGGCCCAGGGAGCTGAGGCGGGCAGGGCCCAGATACATGCAGCTGGGAAGTGAAAGGCTGCTTCCAGCCCGAGTCTGCCAGGCGCTGGCCGCCGGGCAGTAGGAGCACAAGTCACCAAGCAGGGACCCGGAGAGCTGCCCACCCTTGGAGATGTCTGGTCTGCCCAGGGCCTTGTGCTTCTGAAACCGCTTAACTGTTCACCAGATGTTTCCTGGGCACACAGCTGGACTACATTTCCCAGCCTCCCTTGCAATGAGTCCTGGTCAGTGGGATGTGGATGGAAGGGCTCTGTCACCATCAGGCCAGGTCCATAAACGCCTCCCATGAGTGATCCTCTCGCCCCCTATGTACCTGCTGGATGTTGATGTCCAAAGCAACTTGGGGCTACCTGAGGAAGTCAGAGTCCTGTCAGCACATGTCTTTGAATAATGTCTGGAGCAGAGTCTGTCTCAGCCACCTGAGCAGGAATTAAACTTCCATTGAGGTTTTAGGGTTTATCTGTTATGACTGCTAGCTTTAACTAGTGCAGATCTACAAACCCGTGGGGCACAAGGAGCTTGTTTGGGTCTGCTGGGTTGTCACAAGGGGTTTATACCCTGGTTGTGCATGATGGTTTCTATTATTTTAAAAATGTATTCATTAAGTATATTTGATTCAGAGAGAAAGGGAGAGGGATAGATAGAAACATCAATGATGGCAGTCATTGATCAGCTGCCTCCTGCACGCCCCCGCTGGGGGTGGAGCCCAAAACCCAGGCATGTGCCCTGACCGGAAATCCAACGAGGATCTCCTGGATCATAGGACAATGCTCAACTGCTGAGCTCTGCAGACCCGGCAGTTTCTCTTTTTTTAACCAAGAACAGATCAGATAATTTTGGCTGAATTTCAACATTAATTAAAAGTCAGATGATAACTCTGCTCACTGCTCTCCCAGGGCTGGGCAAGCTGATATGCCCAGAAGCCCATCCAAGCTGACACGTCCCCAGGGTAGGTTACATCCTGAGGGCATAAGTCTGTGAAGATACTCTCAGAAGCCCAAGAAAGCTCTGATATGGAATGTAACATTTTGTGAGTATAGATGTACTTTTATAAGACTCTCAGGGAGCCTCAAAGGAGGTTAGGAGCCTCTGCCCTGGGGTCCTTCCATGTGCTCTCAGGGTTTTAACTACTTCAAAGCTGTTATTGGGAGACTAGATCTCCTTAGCTTTTAATTTATATTTTCAAGAATCTATGAATATTTCTTATAGACATGTCAAACTCAACACTTTAAAGTCTCACTTAATCACCCAATTACCCAAAATAGAAAACGTGAGTTATATTCCAGGCTTCCCTATCAGGTTTGTCAGTCCTACCTTTGACGTTCTTAGCTTCCTGATTCTTAATTCCTTCGTTCAAGTTCTGTCATTTCTCCCAACTCTGCCACCACGATGAGCAGTACCCTCTGACAGGCTCCTTGCTTCTTACCCTTACTGCACCCTACTTTGTTCTAATATCATCCCAGCTGGCCAAAGCGATCCCATTAAAATTTGGGACAGCTTATGTCACCTCTGCTCAAACCCCAGCAGTTTCCTTCATCATTCAGAGAAGCCAGAGTCCAGTCTACGAGCCCCTTGCCACCCCACTCCACCTGCTCTATGCCTCCCTGACTCCACACAGCCACGGGCATCAGCACTTTCCCCCACTGCAGCAGGCACCACCCACCTGGGAGCTCTGTCTCCTGCTGCCCCCTCAGCCAGGAATCTCTGCCCTCGGATCCCCCTGCCTTTGCCATCCTGTCTGAAATCACCCCCCTCCCACCCATTGCTCCCGTCCCCGACTTTCCTCCTCAGCACTTACTACTCTCTGACTTGCTATGTAACTTACTCTTCTTGGTGGCTGCCTGTCTCCTCACTAGACTCTATACCCCACAGGGAGGCGTACTTTCTGCATTTTGCTCACTGCTGTAGCCCAGTGCCAAACACACTGTGGTACTCAGGAAGCACCTGCTAAATGGATTATTTCAAAAGCCGCCTAGTTTCTCTGCCAGCTACTCTATCCCCTGACCCACGGCTGCCTCACCTAGCAGTGAGTTCCACGTGGGTAGGTGGTGCCCTGTCCACCGAATCCCCAGTGCAGAGCCAAGTAGATAGTGGGTGTTCCACAGACATTTGTTCATCAGGGAAGGCCCAGGACTGTACCTAATTCACTCTGGGTTTTTAGCACCTACAGAGTGCTGACATCTGGGTTCGCTCAAGCATGCAGCAACAGTAAGGGAGTACCTACGTGCACTTTCTTTTTGTAAATTTAATTTATTGATTTTTTTTTGAGAGAGAGAGAAACATCGATTTGTGGTTCCACTTATTTATGCATTCATTGGTTGATTCTTGTATATGCCCTGACCAGGGATTGAACCCGCAACCTTGGCGTATCAGGACAACGTTCTAACCACCTGAGCCCCCCTGCGAAGGTTACTTGCACTTTCCATAAAAATTACTTTTTGCTTACTTTTAATGTTATTTTAATAGAGAAACGGACCTGAGGGAAAACGCCTATGTTGCTGCAAACTACCCTGTGTGTCCTTCCTGGACATGACCATCCAAGACCAGACCTGAGGCCTGGCTGCAGCACCGAGGGGTCTGTGCTCCAGTGCAGAGGGGTGGGAAGGGCACGCCCGTGCCCAGAGGAAACAGGTGGCCCCACTCCCAAGCAGACGAACAGAAGTGACCCCAGGGAACAGGTGAAGGTTCTGAAGCAAGAATTTATTCCAAGTGCACATAGTGGGTGTGGACAGTGACCCCAGCAGAGACATACATTTCAAAGCAGGTCACAGCCTCTCAGTCTCCCAGCCCCAGCCCCTCCCGTGCCACCTCTCTGGCCTGAGCTGGGGCAGGGGGAGGGCCTCCCAGTTCCCAAAAAAACAGAGGAACCTAAGGGCTAAGAGAGAATTACACAGCCTTATTTTTATTAGTATCCAGCAAGAAAAAAATCTAAAGACCCACTCCATGCTCCAACCCCACCTTTACCAGGTGGGCCCTCAGGAAGCAGCACCTGCCCAGGGAGCACCTGCTGCCAGAGCTGTCCCTAGAGCCTGAGCCCCAGGCACAGCCACCCCTTGTGCCTATGAGCTGACTGCAGGCCCATTCCTCCACACGTGGAGACAGAAGGGCAGCTGGCATTTCTTCGGCCCTCAGCTGTCAGCCTTGGACACTTGGAAAAGGTCAGCGATGTCCAGCATAGCTTGGCGGATGTGGTTCCCAAAGCGCTGGGCATTCTGTGGGAGCCCAGAGCTCAGACCAAGCTCCAGGCAAGCCCTGCCCTGTCCCCACAAACAAGGACTCTTCCCTGGCCAGACAGGGCCCAGGGTGGTACCCCCTCCTTAGGTCTGAGCAGGAGCAGGAGACTCACCGTCTCTGAGCTTGAGAACTTGCTGGAGACATGGAAGAAAATGGTCTTCTCGCCAGCGATCATGTAGGAAACCCCATAACCATCATCCGCCACCTGAGGGCGCACAAGGGGTGAGGAAGAGGTAAAACAGACCTCAAAGAGCTGAGGCCGAGCTGATGCTGCCCTGGAATCCCCACAAAAATCCCAGGAAAGGGCCGCACCCCAGACACTGCATTTTTCCTGGGGTCAGAACAATATCCAGGAAACTGTGAAAACCAAAGAGCTTCCTCCCCCCCTCCAGGACCTCAGGCTTCCTTCAGGAGGCTCCAGATCACTGCCTCACAGGGGTGTCTCTAGAACCCTGACAAACTAACCCAGGTGAGTGTCTTAGTGGGAGAGCTGCACACTGCAGAGGGGAAGCCAGCCCTGGGCCTGGTCATGCTCTAGCAGGAGGTGCTGGCACAGGTGGGGTCCCAGGCACCTGTTTCCATGCAGGAGCAGGGCCTCTGATCTGAGCTTGAGGCCCTGGACGCTCCTGAAACCCCCAGGCCTGTCCTACCCACTCATCCCTTCAAGGGCGCTTACAGGGCCAAAGCCACCACCAGGGCCCAGGTGATTGGGATACTTGTTTGGGTCAAACATGCGGATCTGGAATTGAGCGGTCTGGCTGGTGGAGAGGCGCCAGGGTTCTGACAGTACCTGCAACAGGGAAGCCACAGGGGTCAGATGCCATGTGCCCAGCAAACACCTGCTGACAGGTAGTGCCTGAGCACCTGCAGGAGCCAGGCATTGTCCTGGCAGCAGATGCATAAGAAACGCAGTGCTGCCCTGACTACTGCCCTGGTCCCCTGTCCATTTTCACCATCACAGCATTTGCACAAAACCCTCCATCATGTCTGGAGGCCCCAATTGACCTGCACATCCCTCTGGCCTTTCCTCCACCCTGTTTGTCCATTGGCTCCACCCC